GGTCCCGCTGCGGCTCCCTCAGCAACAGCCCCGGCCCCTTCGTGCCCCCGCGGGCTCCTCCCTCGGCACCTGCCCGTCCCCTCCGCCCCGCCGGGCCTCCTCCCCTGCGCTGGTGCTGGACACAGAGTCAGCCTGCGACTTCTGTGCGGGGCACCTGAGGTGGGTCTCGCTGGTCGCGTTTGTTTCCAGAGACGGGTTAAAAGAGGCGACCGCCGCCGGCGAGCGGTGTGGGTGGGGACCTCTTGTGTTTTGCATTCAGAGCTGGGATTCAGGCACAAAAATGACAAAAATTGCGTGGTTCGGTGTTGACGCCCTCGGCAGCGAGGTGCGGGGCGGTGGCCTTGTGCTGACTTGGGATCTGACTGTCGGTCCTTACGTATTTTTCTTATTCTCTCTTTTTTTTTTTTTTTTTTTAACTACACGGTAGTCTGAACATTACCAAAAGGTGGGGATTTGTGCAGCTAAATTAATTCTGTTTTACAATGTTATCCGTCTCAGGTTTTCTTTGGCGTAGTCACTGTTGCATCCAGTGACCCCCCCCTTAAAGATCAAGGACTTGAAACCGAAGGACTGATTTTTCTGAGGGCTCAGCGCTTCCTGAAAATTAGGCCTTGTTTTAGCTGCGTTGGGTTGGACACCCAAGTCATAAATTAGGGAAATCCTGAATTTCTGGACACCCACAATCACCTGGGTGTCCCACAGTCTGGACACCCACAGTCACTGGGTCTCCAAATGCTGGAAACAGTATATGAAGTTAAGCTTGAGCATCAGTCTTTGTAGCATTGGCACTAGCGTTTCTTTTTCACTTATTTTTTATGTGTTTGACTTACAGAGACTGTCATTCTTGCTTTTTAATAAAACGAATGCATAAATTATATGAGTAGAACTTTTTTAGGCCTTTATTTACAATAAAATATGCTTCTGTTTGCTTTCATGGCCTGTCACACCCTTCTTAGCGGTATTTGTCATAAAATGACAAACAAGTGTTTGATTTGAATATTTATTCTTTGGTGTTTTAGGAATCAGACTGAAGAATAATGTATGGAAGTTTCTGACATCATGACAACCATCAGACAGAGAAAGGGAATAAAAGTCACAGAAGTTGCAGAAGATCATCTTTCACAGAAGAAAAATGTGAAGTCTGATGGGAGAGTTCCATCTGGTGGGTAATTAACAGGAATGTGGCATTATGGACTCTCACTAATGCTAAATTTTTGGTACCTTCACTTCCATACATGAAAATTAGGTATCATATCAAACAGTTTTCTAAGTATTGACAGAATTTAGGATAAAACTATAATCAAAGGGACAAAGTGCCACCATAGATTATGGTGATGTGGGGTTTTAGTCTATTTTCAAATGCTAGTTACAGTGAAATTATTTTTAACGTTGTGGTACCTGACATATACACTTCAGCATAGGTTGATTGCTTGGCTTAGAATGTCATAGGACAAGATGACAGACCTACAAAACCACACAACACGGTTAAATCTGGATATGTATCCTACAAACAGAGTAGCGGTTCCCAGTCTTGGGGTTGTGACCCCATTTGGGGTCACAACAATAAAAAATGGGGTTGCACATGCCTGGGAAGAGAGACATGGGGGGCACATGCCCCCCAGATGTGTGATGCCTGAGGCAGGTTCAGGGCTCTACCCTGCTGCCCTCCCCTGAGACTTGCAGAGCAGAGCGGAGCGGAGAGGCTCAGTGCTACTGCCGGGAGCCACATGCTGGCTGTGCTACTACAGTGAGGTGCCCCCTGCCCACCCAGCAGCAGCGGGGGCACAAATCCGTGCTGCAGCTGCTGCTGGGCAGGCAGGAGGAGCCTCACCATGGCAGTGCGGATGGTGTGGAGTTCCCGGCAGCAGCACCAGGTCCCGCTCTCTGAGCTGCAGAGGCCCCGTGGGGAGGGCAGCAGGGCGGGGAGTCCTGAGCCCGAATCCTCACCCTGCGCCTTCCCCACGGGCTCTGTTCCAACTGTGCCGTCCATCTGCAGGGGGAGAGGACAAGTGCTGGGAAGAGGGAGGAGCTGGGCTCCATGCTCTGTTCCAGCTGCAGCAGCTGCCACCTCCCACTGCTCTGTGGGGCCTGCAGGCCACGGGCCCTGGGTCTGGTCCCATAATCCTGGAAGCTTGGACCCCCCTGCTGGCAGGGGTCTGCAGGTTGGGAGTGAGGGGCCCTGCTGTAGAAATGGCATCATAAATGGGGTCATGCTGAGGGAAAGTGAGAACCACTGCGATAGAGGGTCTTAAGATAACATAAGCTGTGATTTTTATTTTCTTTTTTTTAACTTAAGAATTTGAGTGCCCCATCTGAAAGGAATTGGATTTGCGGTATAAAAGCAAACACGGGTAACATGTGGAATGGGGGCTTTAGCTGCAACCTTTTTGGTTTTTGTAGACTTGCAGTGTTACCTATAAAGCATTTTTTACTTTGTTGACCTCTGGAGATAATGAAGGACAACATTTCAAGTTCTTGTATGAAAATACTTTGAAAATTCACACAGTTAATTTCATTGCTTTTTTAAGGGCCAAAACTTAGTCTGCAACCTCTGCCTTTGCAAAATTCTCTCTTCTCTTGCGTATGTATTTTGGATAGGTGGGAAGCCATTTACCCAATTTATGTTGTCTACTTATGCTATGGTCTAAGTCAGAGGTGGGCAAAATATGATCCACAAGCCAGATCCGGCAAGTCAAGTAAATGAATCCAGCCTGTAAATGGGTAGGAGCTCCAGCTCTGGCAGACGTGTGGTACTAGGCAGCCAGGGCTGCTTCTGGTGTGCCAGGTGTGCTCGTACTCTCTCTCTGTCCGTCTCAGTTGGGGCTGCCACTGGCGCTGAAGCATGAACCCACCTGCAGCTGTAGCACCTTCCCTCCTCCTTCCCTAAGCCCAGACCAGGCAGCTGCCCAAACACAGCTGCCATTTTTGAGGTGCAAGGGTCGGGGTGTGCTACTGCTGCAGGTGGGTTCAAGCTTCTGCTCTGGTCGCAGCCCACAGCTGTAACACGCCCCTCTCCTCCCCCACCACTCCTGGAGCCTCAGCCTGGAAGCTGCTGGTCACAGCTGTGTTTGGGCAGCTGTGGAGGTGGCCAGAAGCTGCGGGGTCCAGACGCTAAGGGGCAGTGGGGCATGCTAAAGCTGCAGGTGGGTGTACTCTGGCTATGGGGATGCAGTGGGGCATGCTGAACCTGTGAGTGGGTTCAGGCTTCTACACCAGTTACAGCCCTGGGAGGGAGGGATAGAGAGAGAGGGAGAGGTGTGGCCCAAATAGCTGCCCACCCCTGGTCTAAGTAGACAGTTCCATTAAATCACATGTCCTTTCACAATATCTGAATCTTGCTTTTTTTGTATCCAGATCATGGAGTGGGATTGAGTGTTAAATCAACTTGAAAAAAGTCACTAATTTAAAACAAAATGTAAAACATTTAAAATGTTACACATGAACAATAAACTGCTTGAATGGTTTCATTTAAAAATGTGGCTTCTCACTGCATCATTGCATCTATCATTTTGTCTTTCTGATGTCAGCAGGTGTTCATTGCAATTCAGAGCATGACATCATTATCAGAAGCTACTTTGATCAGTGCGCAGCCTCAATGTGGAAACTTAGTGAGACTATTAAACCTGAAATGCCATTTTTTTAAAAACATAAAAACAGCATCTAAATTCAGAAGTTTAAAGAACAAGGTTTGATACCTTGCTTTGTGAACTTCTAGTCACCCTCTGTATCATTAATTAAAAATGATGCCTGGGGGGACATTTCAGAGCTTTTGTAATTTATATTTATAATCCAGATACGGTGTTTAACTAGATCTGTATAAGATCACAGTGTTGTCGTATAAACTACAATTTTACATTTCCCCCCATGAAACATAGCTCGTCTCATTCTGCATGTGAATAAAACATTAAGTTTCTTATACCAGAAAATTCACAAATACAGTTGCTGTCCAGGGGTCTGAAAAGAGATCTCTTAATTATCTCCAGATTGCTTTGTAAAAGTGAGCATTTAAAAGAGGATCAGAAATCTATGTAAAACAAGAAGAATTATGTGTTTCTCAGTCCCTAAGTCAAATATTGTGTGTCTGACTTTACACAGGTGGAAAACTATGGAAGAGATTTTCGCTTATAGTTGGTGGAATAGTTGCCGTCTCCCTTGGGCTTCTTACTTCTGTTTATGTTGCTACACTACATGAGAATGATCTTTGGTTTTCCAATATTAAGGTAATGAAATTATTTTGATAATTTCATCTTTGCTTTCCTAGCACATTGTAACAAATACATGCAGAAGTTATTTAAGTTTCTAATTTCTCTTATGACTCATATATATGAACTACAGAATGTTCCATTGTAAATAGCTTTCTCATATCCAGAATGTATATAAAACAACCCCCCCCATAATTTCTTATTTTAACTTTCTTCCCTACTTAGTCAAATTGATATCCTTTCAGTCATTTCTCTGTTCCTAACTGTGCTGTAAGCACTTGGCTATAATAAACCATGCTATTATTTTCATGCTATAAAAATAGTAGCTCAATTGCTTACCTACAAATTATCATCACCTAGTACAGTGTTTCAGTGATCTATTGTATCTTGCTCTGCTTTCAAGCTTTCTGTACACATTACTGTCAACGAACAACCTAAACCCTGCTGATTTCTCAAAATCGTTATATATATAAAAAATAAATAAATACAAACAAACACCAGTTTGTTTTTTTTTAAAGAAAAAGGCCTACCCAAAGTCCTGGCCTGCAACAATTTAACAATGTTATATTTTTAAGATATATACACAATTTATTTTTAAGGTTAAAGTGCTTCTTCTGATACAACAGGGGCACAATCTTTGGTAACCCAGAACTCTCCAGAAAAAAAACATTTATATTCATGTAATAGCTGCTTTTATTTGAAAATTTCAGAGCGTGTCTGCATGGGATGTTTACTGCAGACCTGACTGCAGTAAACGTCTCTGCATCTACACATGTGCCCCTATTTAGGGCACAGGAAACTAATAAACTCTGCAGCAAGGTAGTACTTGTAAATACAAGTACTACCCTGCTGCTGAGGGTTTTTTTGTGCACAACAGTGTACATGTAGACACTGACTTAGCTGGTTGGGGCACGAGGGTGCTTCAGTGCGGAGGCTGCCTGCCAGCTAGACCCACACTGAAGCACCCTCATAACCGCCCAGCCCCTCCACTGCTACTGAGGCCTGGTTGGAACAGCCCTGGGCTGGTAGGCTGACTCCTGGAGACCCCTGCCAGCCAGGGCTGCTCCACCTAGGCTCTACATGGCACCTAAATAAACTGCAGAGCTTACTGCTCCGGAGTTAATTTCTCCCAAGTACACGTTCAAATGGCATGCCTGAGAGCAATTAACTCTGGAGCAGTGAGCTCTGCAGTTTATTCAGGTACCACAATTGTACATGTAGGTACTCCCTCAGAGTACTTTTCACACATTAAGCTTTGCATCCTGTGAATAAGGAAAGTATTAACTGTATTTTATAGTGGAGTAAGTTGAGGCACACAGGTTATTTAAATCAGTGGCAGAGATAACAATTGAATTCTTAAACTCAGGTGACCTGCTCAGACTGCTAAACCAAGTATCCTTATATGTCGTCTTTTTGTTTTTTTAATACAGTACCTGAAATGGGAATTAAATATGTAATAACTACCCCATTCTTCTCTCCCTTGAGGTTCTGATGGGCCTATTCTTTTCTCTGCCAGTAGGACAAGCACTTCTGAAAGGATTATTTTTGGTTTATTGCCATCTGCTGTTGTATAAATCGCAACTCATGGCCAAAATCCACCAGAGAAGGTTTGTGTCCTATCTGCTGGAAACTTGGCATAAAGGACTTTTGGGAAGTGTAGCTAAGGCTGCCAGAAAATACGCTATTTCCTCTGCATACTCTCAGCTAGCACCAAAGTAAAATTTAGTGAAGCCAACAGTGGAATTAAAATACTGTCCATGACAACTGGGTCCCCAAAGGAATGTTAGGAATGGTAAAATTCTTTTTCAAGGGTTGAAGCTTGTTCTCCTGCACACTTATGAACTCCTTAAGTGCAAAGGATGTGGCTAATGCAGAAAAATGCACACATCCCTATGCCAACAGAAGCAAATTTGGCTCAGCAGTTCAGTTCTAAGAACACAGACTCTCTCCATAGGGACAATAAATAATTTATCCAGCAAACAGAACTTAACACAAACAGATCCTCTACTTAAGTAAAAATGGTTCTTGGCCAAATCCTCATTCAAAAGACTTACCTCCTCAAGCTTAAGTTTTAGGTAGGATTAGTTAGATCCTCTGTTGCATGTATGGGATTTCCTTTTCACTGGATCCCATACTGACATTTTTCCCAGAATTCTTTGCAAAGGAAGAAAAGCCAGTTGTATCCATATCTAAAATTAATCAGAAAAACAAACAGGTAATTTTCCTTTTGAAGACTTAAAAATCTCTTAGCATTTGTACTGTACTATAATATATTTTATGCCGTATAGACTGTAAGGTGACTTTTAGCTTATGCAGCACATTACCAACTTTTTATCTTTTAACATCTTTTAACTTTTCCAAAAACAAATTAAAAGTTACAACATAATGAAACAATTAATGTTGTAGGTGTAATAAGGTTGTGTGACAGTTTGTATCTTTTATTGGACATAAGTAGAGCTCCTGGGTACATACCGCAGATAAGTATGAGGTTTGCTTTCGGCTGTCTTCTTTTTAGAGTAAATCTACAGACCCACAAATCTGCATATCTTAATGAATGGACAGAAATTTTCTTTTGGGAAAATTTAAGTAATTTTATGAGTGTGTTAAGTATTTGAATTAGTTCAAACTGACACAAGATGGCACTAGTAACTGCAGTGATAAAGCAACTTCAGTCATCTTGCCCATACATAGAAAATGAGCTTTTAATTCAAGACTTATTTTTTGTTATAACTGCATGTATTTTCTAATGCATTTGCAAACATACATGGCCTAAAAAACAACATTTTATAATGCATGCTATTCATGTGTACCTATGTGAATGCTTATGTTGTATCATTTCTAATAAAATATTTTTCCAAAACAGATGACAGTGGTCAAACTTTCAGTGAGCCTGAAAAATAACATGTACAAAACTTATACTTGCAGGTGTGCATTTACAAAACTAAATTGGTTACAAGCAGTTATGATTTTTGCATGTGCAAATATACACATGAAAAAAATGTAAAAAATACACATGAAAAATAAGAGATTACGTCTCAAAACTTTGCTTCACATTACTAAATATGATATAATTCAATAAGCAGGGTGTCAAACTCATCTGGCTATGTGGGCCAAATGAAGGGTGTGGGGCAAGTCTGCGGGCCAGATCAGACCCATAAACCATCCTCACTGGACCAGTCTGGTTCAGGCAGCCCATGCAGGGTGCACCCTGAACCAGTCCTGCATGCAGTGTGCACTGGCACCAGTTTAGGACTTGCATGTGAAGCTGTCACAGGGCACACACTGCATGAGGTGTCTCTGCCAAACTGACCCTGTGCACTGGCTCCAGTGCATGGGCCCAAAATGGACTGGCCCCAGAGCCAGCATGTAGAGCCAGTCTTGCAGGGCGCTGCATATAGTGCGTACCACGTATCAGCCCCTGTACCACATGTAGCATGTGCACCAGATCCAGCCCCACACACCACATGCAGTGCATGCCAGCCCCAGTTCAGGGCTTGCACTGCACATGGCACACGTGTAGGGCGCACACAGCATGCATTGTCCATGCCACACCAGCCCTACATACTGATTCCGCCACTCAGGGACAGTCTGTGGGCCCAGTCTGGCCCTGGAGCCAATGTAGGGCTGGGGCCAGCTCAGATGCCACATGCAACATGTACCCCACAGCCTCCTAATGCAGCTCATGCCACACGCAGCATACTAGGTCTGTCTGAGATCCTTAGGTCAGATCCTAGGGCTCCATGGGCTGGATCTGGTCTGCAGGCCATATCCTGTTCTACAGAATACTTTGTCAAAATAATACATGGTTCCTGTGTCGAGGACTAACCATCCTTTCGCTTAAGTTAACACAGACCCTCCCAAATTTAATATTATTTAGAAAGTGTATCTTAGCGCACAGTTTCCTTAAGCTAGTCAAGGAAACACTGTTCTACAAATGCAAATCTTATAGGCACAAGTTCTAATATGTTTTATTCTTCTCTTCACATAACATTCACAATAAATAGAGATGAAGAACCTGTAAAAGTTATGCTTCTTGATAACCGTTTTATCTCCAGTAATTCTTCCTGATGTCCAGCTATGCAACTGATAAGCATGTGGGCATCCATATATTGAGTAGGTTGTTTACTCTCTGCATATTTTTTTTTTCCTTGCTTTTTCATTGTTTTATAAAATGTCAGTATTTTCTAGATTAATAGATGCTAGGGTTGGAAGGGACCTCAACAGATCAGGCAGGAAAGAGGGCTGGAATCAGATGACCCCAGCCAGATGCCTATCCAGCCTTCTCTTAAAGATCCCCAAGGTACGGGAGAGCACCACCTCCCTTGGAAGCCCATTCCAAATTTTGGCCACCTTTACTGTGAAGAAGCTTTTGCTGATATCTAGCCTAAATCTGCTCTCTGTCAGTTTGTCCCTAACCATACGAGTGGCCCTTCTCTAGATCCTCTCGAGTCTATCAACATCCTTCTTGAAGTACAGCACCCAAAACTGGATGTAGTACTCCAACTGCGGTCTGACCAATACCATATAGAGGGGAAGTAGCACCTCCTTGGTTCTATCTGTCATGCATCTGCTGATGCATAGTGATAGCATATACTTATGAAGGCAGTGAATTTTAGTGTTTAACTAAATTTAATTTAGTGCTTAACAATTTAGACCTTTAAAATTTATGTTGAAATGAAATGGAAGCTACCTGCATTTTCTCATATATTTTATAGTTTGGCTGATGCATATATTTCTGTATTTTTAACAAAATTTCCTCAATGTTGTGTAGTAATAAGCTTTATTTTATTGCATGTCTCAGCATAAATTCCTTAGGGAGAAAGAGTATAATCTAATCTTTGACATACACAATTATTGTGTGGCTTGGTTAATAAAGTAGAAGGGTTATTTTGCCTTAATTTTATTAAACATGGAATATTGGAATGGGATCCATGTTTAAACACATTCAGTGTTTCATTAACCCCAGTACCTACAGAATCCTGTAATGTCACTATTGTTGTAAACAAAGAAAAATCTCC